ACCTGTTTCTGGACCAGCGAATCTCACTGGAACCTCACTACAGACGGACCCAGCAACTGGAATGTTACACCTACCTGACAACCTGTTTCTGGACCAGCGAATCTCACTGGAACCTCACTACAGACGGACCCAGCAACTGGAATGTTACACCTACCTGACAACCTGTTTCTGGACCAGCGAATCTCACTGGAACCTCACTACAGACGGACCCAGCAACTGGAATGTTACACCTACCTGACAACCTGTTTCTGAATGAGCAAATCTCCCTGAAGCTTCACTACAGACGGACCCAGCAACTGGAATGTTACACCCACCTGACAACCTGTTTCTGAATCAGCAAATCTCCCTGGAACCTCACCACAGACAAATCCAGTATCTGGAACGTGGTTGTAAATAGGGTAGTCTTTGCCGGGTTGTCCTTTCCTCCTATGAGCTATGAACCTTCTAAAGGTTTTAACCTTAGTTAATATGACATTCTTAGATCTCAGTTTGTTGAGAGAATCTAATGATTCCTGCGAAGGAAAGCGAAAATATGCTTTCATTATTATTTCAGCCAGTTAATCTTTCTGCAGTAGTTTTGTTAAAACAATTTATTGCGCTACTTTAGATTATCTTAAATTAACCAAAACTAACATTATTCCTGACGTGTTAAGTTGCTTCTCCAAAGTTCTGAGTCTATTCAAAGTGTATTATAATATATTGCCCCATAATCAACAGACTTTGTCAAAAATTCCTTAAATCTTGTGGTTTAAATAAGTTGGATAGATACAGCTACTAAAACAAGGTGATATAGTAAAGTGTAAGGAGGGATTGAGTAACAGTATAGTGTTGGGTAGGTTAAGTAAACTGCAGAATTGGGTCGATACAGCTACTAAAACAAGGTGATATAGTAAGGTTTAAGGAGGGACTGAGTAAATTGGAGAATTGGATAGATACAGTTACTAAAACAAGGTGATGCAGTAAGGTGTAAGGAGGGATTGAATAAACTAGAGAATAGGATAGATACAGTTACTAAAACAAGATGACACAGTAAGGTGTAAAGAGGGATTGAATAAACTGGAGAATTGGATTGATACAGTTACTAAAATGATGTGCTATACAGAGTCACAAAATGGGAGAAGACCAGTAAAGTGAAAGTCTTAAAGTTATAGATAATAATCGACCTTACTAAAGTCAACTAAAACTGTTTGATTGTTTAATCACTGGAAATTCGATATTAGTGTTATTCAGATATGTTTGGAAATAAACTACCAAACATCGAAATTACAGTAGAGTGTTAAAGGATATTAAAAGGTATAAGTTACATAGTTTTTCAGTTTATTCAATCCCTCCTTACATTTTACTGTATCACCTTGTTTTATTAACTGTATCTATCCAATTCTCCAATTTACTCTGTCCCTCCTTACATCTTACTATATATCTTTGTTTTAGTAGCTGTATCGACCAAATTCTGCAGTTTACTTTACCTATCCAACACTATACTGTTACTCAATCCCTCCTTACACTTTACTATATCTCTTTGTTTTAGTAAATATAGCTATCCAGTTCTCCAGTTTACATGTACAGATGTAACCTATTGAAAATGTATCAACCTTAGCTTATAAGTGACTCTTAGCTTATAAGTGACACAGTGACTCTTAGCTTATAAGACAGTGGATCGAGTAAACCGAACATTTGGACACAGACGTAACAGACTAGCTTGAAAGACGTAATGCCACAAATCAATTCACGAGAAAACAATATATTAAAATGATTAAAATAGATTCATCACTTGAATTCCCTCTCTAGTACTGACATTCTCGACCATAATCCCAATTATATCTCAGAAGACTGGTCCAGCTCAGGATATTCAAACTAGTCATAAATTCATATAATAAAATCTAGACAAAATATTGTTTAAAAGTGTAAAAATTAATTCGTTTTTACAGTCCCGCGCTATAAAGAACGTTGTTTACTAAAGTCTTGCAGAGTTTTGTTTTCAAGCATACTATGTGTGACTTTCTAAACATAAAGAACAAATATCACCACTTTTTTTGGCTTCAAATAGTCATTGTAAGGAAGTGAATTTATTTCAAACACTGCCCTAATTTCTATGCCCAGCCCTATTATATGACTGTATCATATTTTTATTACGTAATTTCTGAACGAAGAAACTATTATCGTCTCACATTTTCCAAGAACTGAAACAGCAAGATGATAATAATAAGTTCTTGTAAAAAGCCTTAAGCAGATCTATTGACTAGTCTTTAAGTGTAGTAACCAACATTATCTATAGGTGGAGCTGGATAAATATGTAGAAATCATACGCCTCCTTTTGTATTTGTATTATTATGTTATTATTACAAAGTGTTATAAGTTTTACCTTGAGATACCGATAGCAATTGTTTAGCTTGCGAATCCTTTCATGTTTTTTTTTTAATTCTTAATATTATTACCACTATATGCTTTTCTCAACATGCTTGCTATAAATTATCTTCCATGCAGCAACCTGTAGAGAAGGAATCCAAGGAAAACTATCGAAGGTTCTTCTTCTCCAGGCGCAACCGGAAATTTCCCATCATTCCTCCACGTCTTCCCTTCCGACCTGGTTCCAAGAACAACATCTCCATGGCAACATCTACTACTACAATTGCGCCCTCTACCCTTAGTCCTAAATATCACACTGACGACGAAGATCCATTTGAAATATCATCTTCAGTGGACAGCCCTGCTGTTTTCTGGCCAGTTCGAAGAAAAGTACCTTCACGAATATTTAACCCTCCCACACCAACATCGACCACCCCTCGGCCACTTCTAAAGTTATTGCAGCCCAAACCAACAAGGCCAGCTATGTACAGTTTGCATGGTTTTGTGCCCGAGCCATCAATAAGAAGGATAACAACAACAGAAGCACCGTCTTATATTAAAGAACTTTATAAGATCCGAAATTCACAAATATTATCTACAAGAAAGAATAAGGTAACTTTTACAAAATGGCAAATTCACTGTGTAAATAGCACAGTGACTAATAGCTTTCCGTTTCCTTAATAAACCAAATAACAACAAATGATCTTCGATATAGAAAATCCTATTTGTTTGTCTTTATTTATTGTGTCTGTGTGCACAAGTAAAAAACTTTATACTTTGTAGAATTTTACTACTTAATACGTAAAGTTATAATTTGTCTTTAGGTATGTATTAAAAGTTATCATTGGTCTTTATGTATGTATTAAAGGTTATCATTGGTCCGTTCTTCATAACCAGAACTTTCATCCGTTATAAAAAAGGTGGCGCTCTATTTACAAGACAGTAACACCTCAAATTGGTTTAATATTAAATGAAGACTGGAATTCAGTCTACTATAGTTACAGTGATCTTAGTGGAGCGTCAATGGCCAAATTAACTACTTAAAAACATGATAATGTCGATTTATTACAAAGTGAAACAGATTATATATATATCTTTGCAGACAGACCATGAAGTCGTCTCGAAACATAGAAATGAAACAAAGTTCCTGTGTCATGTTGTTTGGGATTAATTTACATGACTTCGTTTCGTTTAAAAAATCCATAAGAATCTCGACCTTCTCGTGATTTTTCATTGCGTTAGAATAACTGATGAGGTAGTGGTTTATGTTCAAAGGTTTCGGTTTTCTTTTAACATATTTCCACGTGGTTCTGATAATGTGTTTAGTGAATTTTAACCTCCTCTCTCACACAGATCTGATGCTGAAGATTGAAGGTAATGTTATGTTTCGTTAAAAAAAGCTAAGAACAATAATATTTGAATTTTTTAATAGTTTTTCCTATGAAAAAAGTGATACTGTAATACTTCAGTCAATGTACAGAAAAATAAAACATTTGACATTGCATAATTATAGCAAATCTCCACAAGTATGATGTCTGTTTAAAAAAGTTTTTTAAGGAATAGTGCCCAGAAAACAGTGTTAACTCAAAATGATACAGAACTTACAATAAAAAGATAAGAAGATCACAATTCTTAACAATATTTTGGGGTTCCACATTTTTATTATTTTTGTTATATTTAATCACCCATAGGTGCCGCGACAAGCATTTGTTTAACACAGGAATCCTCGTCACTGGTAAGTAAACTCCAAGCATTAATCCTTAACTTGTTCTGGTTAGAACATGATTTTCACTGTTAACAAAATGATTATCATATGTAGTCCTTTTGAATTGTCCAAGTTTATTGTACGTTTTCTTTCGAAACAGAAATTTGACGGCAACAATGCCTATCTTTGACTTTCTTTGACAGTATAAATGAGCCCAAACAGTAAGACAGTAGCCTTAAGATGACAGTAAAAACTAATCCAAACATTAGCACAGTAGAATTTTGTAACAGTAAAAACTAACTCAAACAGTAGGACACAGTAGAGTATTATGACAGTAAAAACTAATCAAAACAGTAGGACAGTAACCTTAAATGACAGTAAAAAATGTCCCAAACAATAAAACTAACCTAACACTTATGTTTAGTTATATAGTTCTGAATATATGTTCATATAGAATTCGAAGCAGCCTGTCTGCTAACACATATATTAAGGCTAAACGTTCCAAATGGAAAAGGCCCGTTACCTTTGACGTTTTTTTGTTGCTAATTTGAAAAAAAAACATCGTATTAATGCTAGAATCAGCGTTTAGTTTTGGAGAAAAACCAAAAAATTAAAATCTTGATTTAGAGAGCATTATGTTATATCACGTGTACACATGTAAGTCTGGGTTTTGTTGTTGATAAAAACAACAACGAGAATCCTGACAACATTTGACAAAAGCTGTAACAAAGCATGTTAAGGTTAATATAACAGTTTGTAAGTACAATAATACAAATATGACGTGTGATGTTTAACACAACACATCTAATGTTATATGCTAGGATAGTTCTAACCTGGAACAACACATCTAATGTTATATGGTAGGATAGTTCTAACCTAACACAACACATCTAATGTTATATGCTAGGATAGTTCTAACCTGGAACAACATAACTAATGTTATATGCTAGGATAGTTCTAACCTAACACAACACATCTAATGTTATATGCTAGGATAGTTCTAGCCTGGAACAACACATCTAATGTTATATGCTAGGATAGTTCTAACCTAACACAACACATCTAATGTTATATGCTATGATAGTTCTAATGATTTCACCAAGTATATTTTACACACTGTTTTACCATCTGATGGATTTTATGTAGCTAATGTTGTTTTCAGTTTCCCTTACCTAACTTCATAAACAGTTTAGACCATAGAAGATACAATTTGTACATAAATATTCACTACACCAAATATAATACGAGCTAAAGAAACATTTGTTATAGACAGATAAAACTAACTAAATTTTTTTTATATCTCCCTCTTCATATCATGAGATCTCAGTTTGAAGCTTTGAAAATAGGTGAAAATTAATACAGTTGAGGTTAGTTACTTAAAACATTTCACCGTGGAACTTAATTTTTCCCTAGCGGATTGATGAAGAGTTGCATTTGGTTTACGATTAAGATGGATTATTTTCACATGGGGTTAATCTTATTTATAATGTACTTGTTAATTTATCATCCGATTTTCCACTTACTAATGTACCACGTGGTTTTTGACCTATTAAGGTACCACGTGGTTTTTGACCTTTAACTGTACCACGTTATTTTATCCTTACTTTTTATTTAGTGGTTGATGAATTAAGTATTGTATTAAGTGTTTTTATGCTTGGTAAGTCGTTTAAAGTGAGGTAAATTAATTATTATATCAATTCTATATGTATGTTTTTCTTTGGTAATTGGTTGTCCAATAAACGAAATATCAGTGAAGCAGGGGTTTCTCTCCTAAAGAACTCCCCTCTGTGAAGTATCGAATGAACCCTACTATATTCTATGCACTGTTTGCTTCTATAAAAATGTTTTATTATTTTATTTAACATGTATTTATATACGCTTCGTAGCTATAGTTGCGCTACTCCAGTTGCTGACGGTCTCAAGTTACTAAAAAAGTTTAAGATGAAACATACGTTTTGAAGGATGATGAATTCTCGTTTGTTTGATTTTACTTCTAGGTATCTGTTGGAAAGAAAATGACCTTCAAGTTGCTGCTGAGAATTGTTCGTGTATTGATGCTTGTTATATCACTCTGTGAGTAACAATGAAACGAAATACCCTTTTTTATATTATCATTGTTTATATTGTCAGTATTGCTATTATTGTTGTTTCAACGCTGTTGCATCAATTTATAGATTGTCACTATTGCTATTATTATTGTTTCAATACTGTTACATCAATGTTTATATTTTCAGTATTGCTATTGTTGTTGTTTCAACGCTGTTGTATCAATTTATATATTGTCAGTATTGCTATTATTGTTGTTTCAACGCTGTTGTATCAATTTATATATTGTCAGTATTGCTATTATTATTGTTTCAACGCAGTTGTATCAATTTATATATTGCTAGTATTGTTTGTTTGTTTTATAACCAAGCACAAAGCTACACAATGGGCTATCTGTGCTCTGCCCACCACGGGTATCAAAACCCGGATTCTAGCGTTGTAAGTCCACAGACATACCGCTGTGCCACTGGGGGGCGCCAGTATTGTTACTGTTGTTATTTCCACGCTGTTACATCAATGTTTATATTTTCAGTATTGTTGTTTCAACGCTGTTACATCACTGTTTATTTTCTCAACATTACTATAATTAATATTTCAACGCGGTTTTATGTCTGTTTATATTGTTGATATCATCGTTTCAACACTGTTATATTACTGTTTATATTCGCATATTCTTGATAATAACAATGTCTGAAGCTTCAAAAGTGTTAAAGCGGTAGCTGGGCAGTAGTCTTTAATTTTTCTCATTTCTTATGCTTACTTATCGTCTCTTTAAAGTAATTAGATGTATTAAAGATTTTATTGAGACTTATTAACGTTTCATTTTCAATTAGATCGTAATTAAAAAAGGGCCAGATATCTGACCTATAATTTAATCATGCCACAAATAGCTATATATCCCGAACTTTCATTAAAACAATATTTCGTTGGATATGAGTTTCCCCGACATAGTTTCTATGACGACTGCTTCCTTCTTTGATTTTGAGCTGGAAATGCCCCGTCTGTGGATCCGAGAATTCATGGTTCGCCTCTCTTGCACCTTTCATCTGTGGATGCGCTAAAGCAGTGGCGATCAAATTCGATAAGACAAGCAGAGCTCACGAGTTATCGGTGTTAAGGACAGCTATGTGCAGATAACCCTTTGCTTAAGTTATGAATTTACCATCTTGATTGATTTCTTCTATGTTATGTAGTTTCTATGACGACTGGTTGTGTCTCTGATTTACGTAGTTTCCATGACGACCAACTGATTTATGTAAAAAGAAAAAGATACACGCAATGTGCGAGTCGTGAGTTCGAATTTCATCATCGAACATACTTGCCTTTCCAGCTGTGGGAACATTATAAGTGATGGTCAATCCCACTATTCGTTGATACCCAAGCAGCCCAAGAGTTGGTGGTGGGTTGTTGTTGACTAGCTGCCTTCCCTCTAGTCTATCACTTCAAAATTAGGGACGGCTAGAGCAGATAGTCTTTGTGTAGATTTGCATGAAACTAGAAAAACAACAACAACAAATAAACATACTTAAACATTTCCTGAACCGGAAACAATACATGAAAAGTTATATGCTAGGATAGTACTAACCAGAAACAACACATGTAATGTTATATGCTAGGATAGTCCTAACCTCAAACAACACATGTAATGTTATATGCTAGGATAGTCCTAACATGAAACAACACATGAAATGTTATATACTAGGATAGTCCTAACCTCAAACAACACATGTAATGTTATATGCTAGGATAGTCCTAACTTGGAACAACACATCTAATGTTATATGCTAGGATAGTTCTAACCTAACACAACACATCTAATGTTATATGCTAGGATAGTTCTAACCTGCTAACTGTCCCAAGTAATTTAATTTAATAAGTGAAATTTAACGCCCATAGTTCATCTAAATAAACAGTCTTAATAA